ACATAGAGTTGGATGTTGTCTTGGTATTTGTTAATTTTATATATTGAGAAATATGTTAAATAAAAAAAAGTTTATTATTAAAAAAAAAACAACACGCACAAAGTACCGAAAATTGGTACCGTTAAGTACATGTACCGATTCCCAGGTACCGGATATTGGTACAGAATCGATTCAAATGTCAAAGGTACCCATCCCTACCTGTTGCTGTATTTCATGTTTCATGTTTAATCTCAATATACCAAAGATAGGGGTGTAAATAACCAGCTTTATCATGATACGATATTACATCGATATGTTTGGCTGACAATTCGATATTTCTCAATATCACAAAGTCTGTCATGATATGATTTCGATTCAGTTCAATTCACACATCTGTGATCAATATGTGATATCTGCCCATCTAACACAATGATTGTGTTAGATGGGCAGATGATATTGGTTCCCATAGAGCGTATGACGACAATATAGATTGATATTTTCATTTTGCCTCAATATAACTGAATCATGAACTATTCAAATCGATATATCGATATAGATCGATGTATTGTTACACCCCTAATCAAAGATAAGTCACCACCATGAGTGAAAACTATCTGCACTACAGCCCCTTATAGTCATTGGACCAATGGATGAAATGAGTAAGTAGAAATATTGTGTTTCTACATAAGATGACAGGTTATTTACCTAGTAACTATGGCATCTGCTGGTGAGCCAAATCGAATGGGCTCCACTTTGGGCTCTTGAGCTCTAGATTGAACATTATCTAACCCTAACCCTACCTCAAAGAAAATACAGTTTGACAAATTAAAATAATTTACCATCAACTAGGTGAAAACTTGACATGCACTAAATGATCCACCGAAGGATGAAGCATCACGTCTTGGTTGGATTATTTCTGAAAGACATACCTTTTCAAATACAGTTCATCTGCTGTAGAGGTTTTTAAACCCTTTAGAACCCGGACCCGGAAATTTCTACTTCCATGATAAAACCCAACCTTATGGGTTAAGGAAGGCCGGGAGGGAAGCTATAAGTGTACAATGGTGCATAAAGTTTTCAGCCTTGTGTTTCTGTCGTTGCTCGACCCAAACTTCCATGTCTGCTCAGTTCACAGATTCAGCGTTGGAGTCTTACCGGGGACCAAGTTGGAGAGCGGACCCGCCACTCTTCATCTGTGTAACAACCTCCTGGCTCTGGTCCGGGACTTCCCCCCGCTTATCATCGGCCACTGGAACCTGCCGGACCTGCGCAGATATGGACCGGTGCCGAATGGATTCGTGTTCGAAGGTGGAACAAGATGTGGTTACTGTACGTTAGTTACCCCTCACATATCGTCTCATCACATGAGGATAATATTATTCCTTCTTATTAAAATGTTGGACAGTGCAGAAGAAAAACTGGTCTGAAATATGGGCATATAAATTTAAAATTTAATTTTACAAGGATTTGAAACACATTTTAAGATCAAATTAGTACTTGAGATTTCTTGGTCTTCAATGTCCTCAGTTTGTTTTTCACACCTGAAGAGTGAAATTTGCTCAAAAGTATTTTAGTTCTTGTTTTCAGTCGAGCCAACAGGAACTTCTCCCAGAAACACACACCCTTAAATATCACATGAAAGACGAGCAGCATTTGCCAAAACAACAACAACAACTAAATCTGATTTGGCTACTTGGATAACTTTATGTTGAAAGAAATAGAAAAAAATTAATTGGCTCCTCAGCGTCTGTGWAGATGGGAGCTAACTTACACTTCCCACTTACAGCAGGAACGTACCAGGTTCTGTTACTTTGTTTTGTCACTTCACAGAACACAGACCAGAAAGACACACTTGTTGTTTTTCTTTTAACACAGATTATTGTAGACTAAAGCTGTGCCACCTGTGCTTTGTGTCGCTTGTTTTTATTATTATTTGCACTGTAAGGTGTTGCAGAGTGCCTGATGTTCTCTGTCTGCGGTTGAAACTGTGAGGTGTRGAGGTTTCACCGCGAGTAGTTACTCTGCTTCTCTGGAAGACACGTCTTAATTACACCAGTGGAAMGCAGCGCGGCTCGTACAGCTTTGGTTTTCAGTTGCAGACGTTTGAGCTGATGACCTCTGACCCCTCTCAGAGCCAGGGCAACGTTGGGTGTTAGAATGTGTGTGGGTGGTCTCAGTGACCTCCCTTTTGTTGTTGAGGCGGTGCAGTGGAGGGGCAGCTGTATTGTCACAGAGCTCAGACACGTCTGGAGGGACCGACTTCTGATCTTTACATTATTGTGTTTTCTTTGAGTCTGAACTGACAGACAGGTGCGAGAAACACTTCACTTCAAAATGACTCAGCTGCCATATGTTTTTAGTCTTTTCTCCATTGCCCCCAAATTATTGTAACCCTTAAGCATTAGTTTGTGAAACATTACGAAGCAGCGTCAGACTAATGGGTTTTGTTTCCTGCAGGGGCAGGTGTTTTTCTTCTGGCGTCTGCAGAGAGCGAACAGATCAGCTTCCTGTTCGACTGCATCGTCAGAGGCATCTCCCCGAGCAGAGGYCCGTTTGGACTGCGGCCCGTTTTGCCAGGTTGGTATCAAAAGTCTTGTTGCTTATAAAGCCCTATCACACTAGACAACCTATGCCAACTTATGAACACTTTAAAGACATCTGCATTGAAGATGGAATTGAAAAAATCAACAGGAAGCTACATTTGGCATGTACATAATGTAATTCGAACAAATTGATCAAATATATAACTTTTATTAGTAATTTAGACGTAAAAACTGTTTCATAAATGGGCATAAGTTGTCTAGTGTGACAGGGCCTTAAACTAGAAAATAACTTGGAAATCACGTGTTAAATGCGTCACGCTCCGCTAAAACCCAGCTCAGTCCCACTCCACACCTCTTTGCGTTCTACTTTGGCGGAACTGTCTTGTGAACGAGGCTTTTGTCCTGGCAGCTGCATGTCTAACATCCTACTACCAATATACCCACTGTCTCTCCTCTGGACATGTCCAAACTGTCTCAGTCTGGTGTCTCTAACTTWATCTCCTAGTGGTTCAGTCTGTGCTGTACCTCTGATGATTGTAATCTTGTCCTTTCTTTTCACTATCAAGAACCTCTACATCTTCAGTTCTGCCACTTCCTGTTCTGTCTCCTGTGTTTTTGTCYGCTGTCTCCAAACCCTGCGACACAGCTGGTCTCACTACTCTCTTGTAAACCTTTTCTTTTTCGTCCACACTTTAGTGAGCAATCACTCCTGAAGCTTTTCTTCATCCTGTCTGGASTCTCTTCTTTAGCTCGTTACCACACTCCCTGTTTCCTTGGACAGTAGACCCTAAGTCAGTGGTGTCCAWAGTCGGTCCTCAAGGGCCGTTGTCCTGCATGTTTTAGGTGCTGCCCTGGTTCAGCACAGCTGAACCTAAAGAGTGCTTAATTAGTGGGTCTCTGCAGACCTTGATGGAAAACTGAGAAAGTAAATCATCTTTTTGAATCAGCTGTGTTGAAGCAGGGACAAATCTAAAACTTGCAGGAGACCRGCCCTTGAGGACCGGAGTTGGACAKGCCTGCCCTAAGTACATAAAGTCCTGCTCCCTGTACCTCACTGTTCCACCTCCTGCCTCCTCGTTCACATGAATACTGTCTTGCTACAGCTGATTTTCACTTCCTTTTTCTTTCAAGCGCATAACTCAACCTCTCCAAGCTCYCTTCCACCTGTTCCCTGTTCTCACCACTGATCACGGTGTCATCTGCAAACATGATAATCCACGAGGAATCCTGCCTGACCTTATCTGTTAGTCTGTCCATCACCAGAACAAATCAGAACGAGCTTAGAGTCGATCCTCGATGTAGTTTTTCTAACTGTTGAAATGATCGATACTACAGGTTGAGATTGTTTYTATGTCATTTGAATACTGGATTTAACCGTGATAAAACCGTTAAAAATAATCTGTTCCACTCAAAACTCAATCCTCTTTTGTTTTTCGCACACATCCCTTCATCTTTCCACCCAGTATGAAGCTTTAGGGTAAAACGTCAGCCGTGGTGGATGCAGTTCTCTTTTCACACATCTTGCCGCCAAATCGCAGGTTGAGCTCATATTTCTATTATTGTGGTGTGAAGGGGGTAATAAATAGCAGCGAGGATGTTAGAAAGGGGCCTCCTGGGGGTCAAAGTCACTGTTCACACAATCAGAGAAGCCGCAGCGTCCAGATCAGTCCGAGCATGTGTTGTAACCTCATCCTCAGGATTCCTCTGATGTCTCGACTGAGCGCTCGGCTCGACTCGACTCGACTCACTTTTTCTGTGCCGTCTTATTCCTTCCTGTTGCACATACAGTCCCTTCTTCTCACGTTTATTTTCTTTGTTTTCCTACCATTGATCCACGCAGTCCCAGACTGAATCTCTCCAACACACACTCTAAAAATGAAATGTTGGATTTACTTAACCATGTTATGTGACCTGGTTCCACTTAACTGAGTTGAGTAAATTCAAAGCAACATRCTCATGTTCTTTGGTTAAAAAACTGGTATATTGCTTTGAATTTACTCAACTCAGTTAAGTGGAACCAGGTCACATAACATGGTTAAGTAAATCCAACATTTCATTTTTTACAGTGCATCTCAGTTGATGAGGCTGTCTGTAACAGTAACATTTAAATATGGTGTAAAAGTGAAATCAATGAAACAGAACTGGATCTTTATTTATTTATTTATTTATTTATTTATTTATTTATTTATTTATTTATTTATTTATTTATTTTTGTTTTGTGTTGCTGCTCAAGATTAAAGAACAATCTTCCAGGTCTGTTTGCGATCCACTTTTAAAGCTCTTTCTAAAACCTATTTCTATTCCCTGGCTTTTGGCACAGCCTGAAATTTGTCCTGATGCATCTCAGTAATTCCGGTAGAAAAATCAAAAAGAAAAAGTATGTTCTCTGGACGGGTTCTTCTTTAAAGAAATGTTTCACCTCTCCTCCAAGTTCACCTGAAACTTCTCAGAATAAAGAAGTCTCTTGGAGGGTAGAAGAAACGTTTCATTAGAGAAGAACCCGTCCAGAGAACATACTTTTGAGTCTGAAATTTGTTTGAATTTGTTTTACTCCTATTTTATTAGGGTTTTTTTTTTGTATTTTATTGTTTTAAAATGGTTTTTATTTTTTGTTTTGTATGTTATTTTTATGTTTTATTATTATTATTATTATTGTACATGTACAACACGTTGTTGCAGCTGTGGTTTTAAACTGTTATAAAAGTAGTTGTAGTAGTAGTAAAGCTGCATTCATGGCTGGTGAAAAGCTGGGAAATTTGAACTTTACCACATTTACTGTGTTATTGGGAAAATGACATTTCTGATTTGGCACAATAGCTCATAAACCCTAAAAACCCTAAAAATACATTTTCCTAGTAGTTTTTCACACAAAAATAATAACCTACCATTTGATATTTATTTCAGCTGAACAGTCCACAAACTCTGACACTTCTTGTGGAACAACTACTGGAAAAATATAATAATAACACATTTATTTACTTCAATTTACCAATATATATATATATATTTTCCAGAGTTTTTCCAGAGGAAAAAAAAACCCCTAATTGTTTTGAGTCGTTTACTTCAAATGTAGCCTACAATCACCAAAAAATACAGGTACGGTATTTATTCATGTATAACACGATCTCGAGTATAATACGATCATAACGTTTTGATCTTAAAAAGCATTAAAAATCTAATTATCAGTAAGGCCCCCCCCCCCACACACACACACACACACACTTTATGGATGATTTCTAGGGTTAAACTTCTAGTTATCTACATGAATAAATACAGTAACTATATTTTTCTACTATATTTCTTGCCAGATTTTGCAGAGTAACACTGGTAAATATGTTTCTAGTAGTTTTTGTAGAAGAATTATATAATTTAACCAAAAAATAACCCTATAGTTGCCTGTACTTCTTGTGTGGACTGCACATTTGACGTAAATACTTAAAATTATATTTTTCCGATCATTTTTCCAGACATCTCAAATCAAGGTTCCCGCGGATCCTTAAAGTCTTAAAAGGCATTGAATTTATCAATCCGAAAATAAGGCCTTAATTAGCCTTAAAATATCTTAAATCAATCTTTCAAAGGTCTTAAAAATGTTAAAACGTTGTAAGTAGGATGATTGCAACTCGTCTCAAATATTACAATAGTTGGTAACATTTTTAATTTTTTTTAATAATTGACCAAGTGCCTCTCGTAGCTTGTTTTGTTTTAATATAAACACTTCTGGAAAAATGTTGATAAATGTGTTTTTTTTTTTTTTCAATTTGTGTTTATTGTAACGTTGGTCTTGAATTTAATTTCAAGTGGCATTAATTAGGTCTTAGAAAGTCTTAAATTTGACTTGCTTTAAGCTGTAGGAACCCTGTCAAATGCCACATTCACAGACAGACAGATCTGTGCACTCGTTCATGTGCAAACCTTGATGTTTGTGCACTCAAATCTTGATGTGCATTGAGTGAACACATCAAGATTGCCTGCATTGTGACACTTTTTTCTCTCCRTAACAAACTGTGTAATTTCATGTACTTCTTAAAATTGTTCTAAAGTTACATGTTTCACATGTGCAAAATGTGTTTCATGTCATATTAATTTACTCTGAGGTTTGATGTGAAGATCAGATTTTCATAATTAAAGTTCACGTGATTACCAGGACATCTTAGTGACCACATGTTAAAAATRTTCTAAAATCACATTTTGCATATACAAACACAAAACAGGGGTTTTGTGGGTTGATATAACATACTGTATGGTCAAAAGTGAAAACAAGATTTTCTACTTCATTGTTGTTGTTGTTGTTGTTGTTGTTGTTGTTGTTGTTGTTGTTGTTGTTGTGGTTATTTCAAATTCCATACACGGATCATGTGAAAACACGTTAGGATATGTTTTAACGCCAGTTTACTTTCTGCTACATCTGCCAGCTCCTGGAGGCTTGTTAATAAATACTTGGTGAAAAGGGGTGGAGCTTATTTATCCATTATCTGTGGAAACATGACAGGCAGACTCTGATTGGCTTGGATGTCTGTCATTCAAAGAGATGTAGGTCAGACTTATTTCTCCATAGAMATGCTGCTAGATCGCTTCTTTTAAACGTGACTCAGTTTTCTGCAGTGAMAAAATAAAAGCTACTAATAGAAGCCACACTGCAGCTAAACCCAATAAAAAACAACAACACTGAAGACTCTTAACTTTTAAAAACGTAGGATAAAAAAATGCAAGGCTCAGAAAGTAWTCAGAAGTAAACCCATCACCGAATGGATTCAGTTTTTGTGTTGACCTTGGTGATTCCAGGTCCTGTAGCTGGTGGTGAGTCCTGCCATCCAGCAGCAGGGAGCATACCAACAGAACCACGCGGTGAAGCTATTTATAAACCATGCTGTGGAGCACAAATACTACACAATGTGACCCCCCACCCCACCCCTTCACCCCCAGGCCCGGTGCTCTCACAGATCAAGTAAACATCAGCTGGGCTGTTTAGTTACACTTGACGTCTGATGCTGTTTGAGATAATTGAGTGTCTGTTTAGGACTCCTCACATAGATTTTCACCGTCCTAAAGATGAATTTTTTTATTTTTGCAGAGCTCTGTTCCAGTCAGACGGACTCCGAGGAGAAGCTGAACCTGGAAGCCCAGGAGCTGGAGAAGCGACTGAGCACGCTGTCTCATGGAAGCAGCACAGGTTGAAGAACTTTTTGTTTTGTGCTGTAAAAAAGGGAAACACTAAAGACTTAGCATTCCCTAAAGAAACATATTTCACCCTAAAACTGTTCATATCAGTTATTAAGATTAACTCAGATAAAATATCTGTTGACATAAATAGTAACATGATCTCAAAAATTATCATAAGATCTTAGAAAATTTGTCACCGATCAAAGAGTGTGTTGAAACTGATCTCTGCTACAACAACACCCTCAAACATGACTTAAGGGAAGGAGTAACTTTATTACCATTTTTACTCAAAATGCCCTGTGCTGTAGTCCACTTCCTGCTTTTGAAGCAGTCTCTGGTCCACTTGGTATTCACACATATATTCAAACTAGAGTTCATTTTAATCGTTMATTTTTTACTCTTTCACACCTCCCCAAACAAACCAGACTTTCTAAGCAAACAAACTAGAGTTTGATCAGTTGTAGAAAAACTGTAYCTCTTATGATTGCTTTCTGAGAGTTTCATTAAAATCTGTCCACTTGTGCTAACAGACAGTCAAACTAGTCCACAGACTGAGTCAGTTACGACTGCCATTCTTTCATATCAACATGACATAAACATCCATAATCAGCTTTATCAGTAAAACCTTTCAAAATAAAGGCATGAATATACTTCATTTTGTTTTGGTGGGATTATATGTTGAAGCTTTAATTTGTCTCATTAATGAAATCAAAATGGTTGTTGTCTGCAGTCTCATCATCATACTACCCGTCTGCGGGGGGAGACAACCACAGCGTCTCCGGCTCCTCTGACACTTCAGACACCAGCCAGTCGGACTGCAGCATCGGCAGCCGGCTCACCATTTGGACCGAATCTCCTTCAAACCCTCCCGGAAGCGTCGACCAGGTGGGCGCCAAAGCGGCGCCGCAGACCGCCGACAAGCTCCCCGCCAACCCGGGAGGTGGGAGCCGGCTTTCAGCCAAGCTGCCCCGGCAGCTTCAGGAGATCGGGCGTCAGAGCTCCTCCGACAGCGGCATTGCGAGCGGCAGCCACTCCTCGTGCACCGGCAGCTTCTCCTCGTACTCGGGCAGCCTGGACATGGCGCCCCCCGGGGAGGACTTTGGGTCTGCTTTCAGCCTGCCTCCTCACTTGGCTCAGGACCTGAGCCCATGCACATGCCCCCCCGCTGTTCCTGGAAACGAGTACCACGTGCCAACATCCCTTCGGTATCTCAATGACAGCCCCAGGAGTCTGTCACATGAAGCAGGTGGGGGCTCCGCACCAACTAAAGACACTGCTGTCCCTTCAGACCTCCCAGCAGAGTCGATGAAAGGGGTTACAAACAACGCCCCGACCTCTGAGGGTCCCTCAGGACCCCCAGACAGACAGTCAGTCTATGAAAACACACAGGGCCTCTCAGAGGAGACGAGTAAAACAAAGCTGGCGCCCTCTAGTGACTCCTGTCATACCTGCACTCCTCKCACATCTTCCTCCAAAACCATTGTGACCATCTGCTCAACCTGTGGAGGATTTAAGGTAAAAAAAGTCCCTTTTCTTGATGTTTAAAGGAATATTTGAAACTCAGATTAAACCCATGTAACATTTAAAAATGGCGCCGTCCAGCTTTTGAAGTGTCGTATAAACCCTGCCTTAACCTGGCTGTCAGGTAGCAGCTTGTGTGCGCTGGCTTTATCAGCAGAGTATCATCTGCTCCATGTGGATTACTGTCGAAATGACCTTTGTGGTTTTTGTGTGMGCTGACTGTGATGCTTCTCTGCAGTCAGTAGCAGAACAACCATCAGTCCCACGGCCYATCTGTCTGACAAGTTAGCATGGCAACCAGTTTAGTTTTGAAGCCATCGATTAGAGCAGGTTAGGTTCTTCTTCAGGTTTGAAGCATATTCAAAACAAATCACCACTTTCTGTTTTGATGCCTTTTAATGTTAAATCCCTGTTGCCTAACTGGGTGAAAACATTCTCATAGATTTCACTCTGATTTGCAGATTTTATACTGAGTTCAGGATGGACGATAGGCTGAACTCTTTAACATTTGTTTTGTTTTGTTTTTATTGGTTTTTTTTTTTTTTCAATTTTAGCTTAGGAGTTAGTTTCTTAATTAATAAAAAGATCGTGGGAAAAAAGTATTACAAAATGTTCTTTTTAAGGGTACACAGACTCCTTCCAGCGTGTCTCCAAGTGCAGCACTGATTTATTTACTCAAACTCATAACAGAAAGAAAGAATGACAGWAGCCTATGTTCAGAAAATACATTTATTTAAACAATAATCACAATGTAGACTTTTTTTAAACCCAGGATAGTCATATTTACAGGTTGTTTTTGTGTTTTATCTGTCTTACAGACTCCCAAGTGTGAAACAACAAATACAAAATCACGGAAAAATCTAAACTAGAAAAATTATTTTCTCCAGCGAACGTTTGTGCTGCCATAAAGGGAAAAAAAGTATTTCTGAGCGATTTGGCACACAAAATAAAAGAGTGAATGATTAATCCATAAACTATAACGTCTCAGCTCAGAACAAGAAGAAAAGAGGAAACTATCCCTTTCCATATAAAGCGTATAAATTATTTGACAAGAAAACAAGCATGTTTACATTCTTGTTTTTTTTTTTTTTAAGTCCAAGCGCCACCAGTGCAAATTTATTGCCCATCGTCATTTGTTGGACTGATTAGTATCAGTTGGAAAAATGTTGCATATCGCTCATCCATGTCCGTAACTGTCTGAACTGATGGGTTTTGTCATCTTGATCTTCGAGGATAAAGTGCTTTTCCTTGGGGTAACTTGATCAGAGTTGGCGTGGGTTCCTTCAACAAACCAGTTATTGTCCAAGAGTGTGTTAGGTCGTATTCAGACCTGACAATTTCCTCCGCTTTAAACGAACCAGAGTTTGTTTCCGGTGTTRGTCCGGACATTTTGTGCAGGTGTGAATACACTCATGCGAACTCTAGTGGTGCAGATCAAACAACCGGACCGAGACCTGCTTTTTGAGGTGGTCTCGGTCCGCTTCCAAACAAACTCTGGTGCGGTTCGCTTTAGTTCTCTTCTGGTGTGAATACAGACCGGACTCTAACCGAACCAACTGCATWAAACATGCACCTTTTTGGACTTCACAGGCCACCGTTGCTGAGCTGAATAAACTGAAAACATACCTGTTTCATCGTCTCCTGTTAGCAGCTCTACTGCCGGCATGTTGTGGGTCAGAACACGCAGAGCACCTCGTCTCCTTTGGGACACATTTACTGACGTCGCTCCAAAATTAGAATATCATCACGAAACCAGCATTAAATTAGCTGCTTCTGACATTTTAAATGCTATTGCAGTTGTAATATCAGCAAAAATGTGCGCATCAGAACCGCAGCATGCAGGACTTCCTTGTTTTCTTCTGGATCTGTGGCTCAGTCCCGTCCCCGCACTTTTTGTCCAATGGGAGCAATGATCGTCAGCCTCATGGCTTTGTTTACAACTTATAGTTCGTTTGCAAAAAAGCACAATGTGAATGCAAACCGCATCAAACGAAAAAAATAAAGTCCACTTTTGGTCCGGACCAAACAAGTACACCAAGGGACTTTCCTGGTCTGAATACACCCTTAGAGAGGAGCGCAGGGTCCAGATAGAACATGGGACTGCACAAGAAAACTTGTTAACAGTTTTACTCCTACATCACTAATGCCCAGTCCTGTCGCTTTCGGGCAGTAGTTCCCAAAGTTGGGGTTGGGACCCTACTGTTCAAGTTCTGCAGAAGTCTGTTAATCACTTATTGGTTCAAATCAGATGCCGAAGCAGAGAAACTTCTAAAGATGCCAGATCATGGCCCTCGAGAACCAAGAATGGACACCACTGAGCTAGATAGTGCTGAAGTCTCAAACYCTACCAAAGCTAATTGGTAGTGATTAAGTACATGTTGGACCACTGTTCTTCTAAGTCTTTTTTTCCCGTGGCATGTCCCTCCAAAAATCAGGTTTTCAAATATTTTATTTATTTGTTTGTTTGTTTGTGTCCTTTTTCACAGAGAACTCAATCTGCTCATTTAAGTTCTTTAATCATACCAACCGTACCAGGTAAGAACGATCTTCTGAAATGTTTTATTTTGTTGCACTTTGCATGCTTTGCACCTTTCCGTGCATGCACAGCTGAATTAAAACGTGATTTTAAAAAAAGCCCCGAAAAGGATATAAATCTGGTGGCCATCCACACCCTTTCAGTGAAGAAACTTCTGCAGAGGTCCAGGCCCGCTCCCGGCGCCGAGCTGCCAGGCGTGAAAACGGGCGAGGAGTCGCCGCCGCCAGAAAAGGAGGAGAACAAATTAGTGGTGCTCTTATCTGGTCTGCTCAGCTTTCCTATCGCAGGCAGGCGGCCAGAGGCGAGCCCACACAGACCAAACCTGTACGAGTCAATGAGCCCCGCTTTGGGAAACGAGCTCCATTTGGCTCCAGCTGGACCATTACCAGAGTCACWGCAAGACAGAAGAGCTGTCATTTATGAAAACTGTTTGAAGTGTCAAGGAGAGGGCTGCCAGCCCCCGCCACGGGTCGTGCCCACTAAGGTGTACCAGAGCAGTGTCGCTTCCTCTTCTCAAGCCTTACCAACTGGACTGCACCTGAAGAGAYGCCAAGATGGTGATGAAGAGCGACTCAGAGAAGCTGAAGGGCAGAGTCAGTATGATGAGAGAAATGTTTCAGTGGTGAATGAAGGTAAGAGACACATCTTCAGCTGACTACACACCAGACCTTGGTGTCTCTTTATCTCCTCTTCTCTAAAGTGGATCCTCCTTTTTTTCTTCTTTTTGACCTTCTTTCCATCARTATAATTTCACTTTTTCCTGGCCTTTATTCGAGCTTTTTCAAATATTTGTTTATTGTCTGCACTGAGTGATGATTGCTTTTGTTGTGTTATAATTCATGCCTGAGTATGAACTTACTGCAAAATTGAAGAGATTATGTCTGTTGGTTTAGGACACTTGGTTTTGAAAATGACACCTCTAAAATTCTCCTAACAATAATAATCTGAACCATTCACTTCCAAGATTGTAAATGATTTTCAATGTGTTAGACCTACTTCCACTAATCCACTAACAGCTAAWACTGAAGCTAGCTATTTGTTTAATCAGAATAGTGTTTTTTCTAACTTTGGAAATGATTAGCAGACCAATTAAGTTCAGATAAATTATTGTGAATTAGATGGTTGCACAATATTTTAAGTATTCTTGTTTAGCAAATGGAAAAGATTCACAGTCCCTTAATTCAGCTGTTCCCAATCTATTTTCCTCAAAGCCCCCCTTACCACTTCCAAGCTAATCTGAGCTAACAGCTAACTAACAAACCAATGACAGGTTTGTCAGTTCTACCAGTCTTCAGCTGGAAGGAGACGGACATGTGAYACACTCATTTGAGCGGTTAGCAATTAGCTGTTAGTGTTAGCTTCTTGTTTAGCTGGTTTGTATTAGCAGGTACTTAATTAAACCTTTCGCAGTTTAGCAAAGCGTTAGCAAAGCTAAGTTTTTGGTTAGCTGTACCCACCACTAGTTTTAGAGCATGTGCGTATCTGTGAGGTGACAGCAACTGAAATGGCTAAAGTAAGTATAAATGATTTATTTTTTAAAAAAGCGTAATTTGGGATTATTTATTTTGATTATTAACGTTTACAGCTTGTTTTCATGGATTTAGAAAAAGCAGCTTTTTTTCTCCTACCAGACAAAAAGCTGAACACTAAAGAAGAAAGACGCCGAGCCGATACCGCTTATGAGATCATGGAGAGTCGCGTGGTGGAGAGGAACTCTGAGGTAGGCCAGTAAGAAACTCTGTAATCCGCTTTATGCTATCAGCTGCTAACACACTTTGACTCTACGACCCATTTTACACCARCGACTGACAATATAAGATTACCAGCTGATTAACATTATGAGGAATAAATTGGAGCTAATAGGAGTCCGTTTAGTTGTGGGTTTAGAATTGAACACATAATACCGTATGTTGGGATAGCATGTGGAGGATATTATGGAACTTATTTTTGTGGCATTCAGCTTTTAAAGAGATAAAATTATGATAATCACTGTGACTCAATGKTTCTTATCTGATTATCTTTTTATTGTTAACTGATTTTAAACGTTTGTTTAATTCTCCATCCTTTAACAAATAACAAAAGACTACAAGAAACTACATTTTATTTTCCAGGCTTTACTTTTGATTGTAAATATGGTTATGTGAAAATAAAAAAAACACCTTTTAGCTCGGTGCAGGCTTCTCACCGAGGGTGGAATAAAAATGGCTGCGCTCCAGCAGCAATTTTCACAGCACAGTTGCTGAAACTGAAATGACTTCAATCTGAAAGACACGGTCATCCCTCCTTAATGATGAGGCGCTGCAGACCAAGTTCTCAGTCAAATCTTGAATATTAACTCCATCTATAAATACTCCTGACGTTTCCACCGGCCTGCTGAGTAGAAAATCATCGTTATGTAACAAACTTATACATGCTGTGCTGCAAATTATTTTCAACAGTGCTCAATTTATATA